ACAACGACTCTAACGACAGCGAGCATAATTGTCGTGCAATTATCAAGCCCGCATCCGATGCTGACAAGCGAACGGTGGCAATTAATGAGTCGAACGCGAAGAGTCAAGCCAGTACCGCATTAATTAAGGCCCAAGCGGTGGCTACAGAAGTGAACAGTTATCACACACACGCGGATGACCATATTGAAATATAAATACCGTGCAGCCTGTGCATGTCTCCACACCATCTGCGCATGATCATGACTATGTCATCATCACCTATGATTAAGGATTCCCGAGGGAATCCGAAACGTCCTGTGTTATCATCACCTATGATTAAGGATTCCCGAGGGAATCCGAAACGTCAGGAGATTAAACTCTTGTTCCAGTGATCGCATCTTCTTCTGTACTGATAAACAGCCCGTCTACGCGTGTCACTCACGTTTGGCCTGCGAATGATGGACAAGGCTTCCACAGACACAAGGGAGGGCTGCTCAGCCTGGGGACATCTTAGAGACAACACTGAGCGGGAACCACTGTAGCTGACTCTCCATCCTGAGATGACGACAATCGGTTAGCAGCCCCTGAAGCCACGGTGTTTAGAGCATCATGATAGTTTAAAAGCGCGTCCGATGAGTTGTATTGAGGAGTTTGCGCTGAGTGCCCTGTGAGCGGACTTCCGAAGCTTGAAATCATCCTCTGTTTTCTCTCTCAGACATAAGTTTACTGTCTGAATCGTGGGTCACTAGGCTGTTGGATTTGCATGTACGTTACTGACAGAGTCCATCTACGCGTGCTACCCACGACATGTCTTAGAAACAACACATCGTTTTCCCATCGAATGGGTGGACAGATTGGAGCTCACAGTCCTGAGAGTCACACTCTGAAGGATCCATAGAGTCAGACTCCCTTTTAATCAGTCAGTCAGTTACACCACACAAACATACAATGTCTAACTGTTGCTAACGGGCGATCGCACAAGGTTAGACCGCTGATAGTTATTCTCCCGGCGGAGGGTTGCGTTTTTGGTGGACGAAGACCTATAGATGCTGAATTGATAACCAGTTTACCTCAGCTTATACAGAATCATGCGTGCACGTGCGCACACGAGCGCCCAGATAGTCGCGTCTTCATAAGGACCACTCGAACATGTCACCCTACAACCACACAGCAGGGGGCCTCTACACGCGACACAACAATAGCACACTACTTGAACTTGCTTCACAATCCTGTAAAAGCAACTGCCATCATCACCCCTCACACTCTGTCACAACAAAAACACATAGTTAGACACTGTCGGACACACCGGTCCTGGTTCTGTCAGTGGCCACTGCTGCCTGAAACTGCAACTCCGGGTTTGGTGCACAATAAAACCCTCATTATAGTGACTCCTGTCTTTAACCCCCAAAACGGGATTCGACCTGATGATTGTAGTGATCCGAGTACAACCACTACTTAAACCACTACGAGCTTAAGAAGCCTGTGGTTTCCAAAATCTGACTTTCTTCTTTTTTGTTTCTAATCTCAGTAGCTAAAACATTAACCTTTATTTTGCTTTGAAACCAGTATTATTGAAAATAAACTAAGTCTTATTTACGAAGACCCCATAAAATACTGAAGCAAGAAGAGTTGGTGTAAACTAGCTCACCTCTGCCAACATTAGCTTCTCGCGCCTGGGACAGACCGATTGGCGAATTATTGATCGCTCTCTTTAGGCGAGAATTCAAAGTGAAGAGCCTTTCTGGCAACGCAAACGGAGGCATCCGGCTGGCTTTATTTATGCGTCTGTTAGACGGGGCCCAGTTACAATTTTTCCATGTTTCAAACACAAGGCTGTGTGCCCTGGACCGGTATTATTTGAAATTCTGACAATTTTGGCAAATTTGGATTGAGCTAAAGGCGACCAAATTCGCGTGAACAGGTTCCATATCACAACGAAATAGGCAACTGCTGAATGTGCATATCTTGCGCTTTGATTTTCGAGCAGCGAATGCGTTCATCATCGTCATCATCATTGTCCGCAGGTCAAAATTGAATTTATGCATTATGCTTGAGAGGCCCGATTCCCAAACAGAACCAGACAATTATCAACCACGGTATCGCGACGATAATGACCAGTAGGTGACGAGAATTAGGAACCACTGACCGGAATTTCCCGTATGCCCGAAATTGAAAAAATACCCACGTGATATTTTGAAAGAAGCTAGCAAAAGAACAGCACTAGACAAGGAATTTGCGAGTTTTCAATAGTTTGAATTGATAAACTAAAATTTCCTCATTCCGTACACTTTACGAGAATGCAAGCCTTGACCCGATTTTGTGTTCGAAGTAAGTTTTTAGGTTTTCAGGTCTTCTTTATGACGAGGACTTTTGGGACGTTCAAGTGGTTATTCTCCCTGCTAGCACCAGCCCCTCTAACCTCTTTCTTGCCCCGAGAGGTAGGACAGAGGTTTGCGGGGATAGACTGGGTAAATTCCGGGGCCAATTCACCCATGTAGCCCTCTCTTACTCCTCCAGTGGAAAAAATGCGCAGAGGAAGGCCTATTTTCACAATATTGACTCCCCTAAACGCTGGACCCTCCTCCTGTTCTACAGCTGGTAGTCCGCTGCACACACTCTCGCACAACATAGAAGACAAGGTGAAAATTAATGATGGTGGATAATTTAGTGATAGAAAAATAAATTGGAGAAATGTGTACCGAAAATAATATCGTTCATTCTTACAGTATATTGGTAGGAGAGCTTCCGCCATCCGCGTCTGTTTCCTGCAATATAAAATGCAGCATTAAAATATATAAAAAGGTTGTAAACAAGTTTTGAAAATTCAGAAATGGAAACCATTTATTTATCGATACAGCTAAGACACATCAAACCGTTTCTGAAATTCGCATAACTTCAGCACTCGCATCTCTTCATACGCACTACTTGCTGTCATGGAAACAGTAAATAGGACAGATTTAGTGCAAAAGGCTCAAATCTACTCACATTTATTCGGCCAGCGAATGGAGACAATGTGTCATGTCTGATAGAAACTGGACGCTGGATATATAATTTATAATAATTTAAAGGCATTTGGTTACCTTGTTAGCAGTTTCCTTCGTCAGGTTTGCCGCCATGCCGGTCTCTCTTCCCATAGAACCAGTAAATGACGGTTTGCGAACTATCTCCACAATGCTGTTACTGTAGGCGGCGTTATATTTAATCAAACCTCTACAATTCTTTTAAAAAATGTAAACATACCAGTGAGGACGACATAAAAGGGACAGCCAATAAACGAAAGCTTGTCATTTGATCCACTCTAACAGAAGCTGATGGATAACGGTGGATCGAGTAAAGAATTCAGGAGATTTCTGAAAATCTTCTCGTTCATTCCATCAAGGGAGCCCACGCGCTGTTTTTGTAATCCATCAGTAACATGTAAAACTAAATAGTAACATACCGCAGCCTGAGCAAAGGCAATTTCCGAATTGCCGAGAAAAATGAACGTCCACAACAAAAGTCGCCAATGAATTAGCCTAAGATTAATTAAAAAGCTTTCTATTCAGAGCTACCACTTGAAAAATCGTTTTAATTAGGTATTTCGGCGTCGAATATCTGCCTATTTTACGTTTTTTGAAAATAGAGTCAAGATCAACATGGAAAATTTTGACCAGTTTTTGACTTGCCTGAAAGTAGGGACACATCTTCTGCTGAAAATGAAATTACTCACTTTTCGGTGTAAACTGGGGCAGTTTTCAGTATTTTTGTTTACTTCTAGGCTTAGTTGTAAGATAACAAATGAAGAGCAGAGTGACAGATTATCAACAACGATTTTGAGGAAACCAATAATTTTCTTGTTGTAATGGCTTCCCAAAGCTATTTTTGTGCAGCCAGTCTCTGTGTGTCAGTTCAGCAGGGAGACTAACGAACAAGGTCGTAAAGGAAAGGAAGTCGTTTATTGCGTCCCTTGACGGG